TCACCGCCCTGCGAACCGGATGAAACTGTGCTAAGCTTTCGTCTCTACTGTGACAGACATCACTAAAGCAAGAGGCCATACTTTACGAAATAGAGCCGGCTACAACCCTAACCGCTTTTTTATACGCCCAACATCGCGATCATAATAGGGCGTTCCATGATTTGGTTGGCTAATTCATTTTATTTGACATGCTTGCAAACGAGTGAAGTTAGCTTCACGATCCTGTTCCTTAGGTTTCTTTCAGTCATAATATCAATGGCGTATCATATCTTGCGTTTTCTTGTATTTCACCACATGCAGCCAGCCGTTCTGTGGATTTACACTTGATTTCGTGTCGCGAACCGTTCAATATGTTCCGCTATATCTGATTCTTCACTGTACATGTTTCTTTAGAATCTTTGATGTTTCTTGACTCGTAGGCTGATTTTTCTTCCTGTTTCACCAATATACTTCTGCCCATAGTTGGCGAATTTGATAATATAGACTCCCGAGCAATCCAGTTTGTCAACCTTCTCGTGTTGCGTCGGCAGGCTTGTGAAGTGTTGCCTTTATTTTGTTATCACTTTGATATTCCATTTTCTTAGCAACGGTCGCAATTTCTGGCTCAGTTCACAGGAGGGTAGGCATATCCACTTTTAGTCGTTCTCCCGATTTCTGCTCTTTATGACCCTTATATTTCTTTCTATAAATTATCTGGGGTACTCGTTAATAGGGCAAATCCGTGTCAGTTTCTCCAACTCCTCGTTCCTGAATTCAGTGTCCGTTGGTCTTAAGCTTCTGATGTGCATACTCATCAATATTCCGATCTTCAGTCTGTAGTTGTGATGAGACTGGAAATTGAGGATTATTCCCGCATATGATCTCCTCTTAAGTATTCCGTTTGAGCAAATGAGTTCAATATGAAGACAGGGTAGTCGTTTATCCTCCTCCACCTTCGTTGTGAATTTAATTTTTCCATCAAGTTGGTCTATAAAATTGATGAATTCATCCAAATGCTTCTTACCATACGACCAAAGTGCAAACTAGTCATCCAGGTATCACAAGCACTTTTTGTTGCAGTTGTGACTTCTCGAATTCCCTCTCCAATCTGTCCACGTATAAATTTGCAAAAAGAGGTGAGAGTAGAGATCGGTAGTCTAAATATTTGCTCACAAATAGTGACATTGAATGTAAAACATGTGGCACTTACTGTCAGGTTGATTAGTCGTGCTAACGACTCCTTTTATATCAGCTCTGCTTCCAAGATATCCTCCTCTCGTACCAAGACCTCCAGCACGGCGGTGACTGCCTTCTTGTCTGGGATGTTTGTGGCCATGTATTGTACGTCAAAACTTACCAACATTCCCGTCTCTGACACTCCAATATTTTTGATCCTTTGTGAAAATTCATATGAATTCTTAACGATATTCGAGGGTCTGTCATTTACTTTCTTGAGCTTCAAGCAAATGAATTTCGCTAGCTTGTATGTTGCTCCATGCTTGATGTTGGCACTTAATATTAAAGGACTTCCTTAATTGTGTTTCTTCGGTAGTCTGCAGGCTGTCAGTGGTCTTGTCAATTAATTCCTTAATATGCATTTCCTTTAGCATATCTTTGAGTGTCCAGTTCTTCTTTATTGTTTGATCGTTCCTTAGTATTTTATAAGTATTCCGGTCGCCTAGGGTACTTTCCATTTTATCCGTGCACTATTGCCCATTATCATAGTCGCATCTGCCTTATCCGCCTGAAGAATTATTTGGTCATTCACCTGTAATTTTCCACGTATCCTTAACGATCAGCCACTTTTTATTGGCTCTTGATGGGACATAATTCTCAGGATTACTTCCATTTCCATCTCACCTTTAGTCTCTTCTGTGAATTTCTCCGATATGTTGATAACTTCTAGAAGGATATTTTCTAAAATATTTTATTCGTTATCGATTGAAAAATTTGACCCTTTCTTCAGGAGATCCACAGTTTCGAAATCAAGAGGGATTAAAGACAAGTTTACTACTTTATCCCTATCGTCGGTTGTAGCAGCTAACGCATTTGATACAAAACCGTCAACATTTGTCCGGGTTGGCTTTATCCTGCGTTGTCTTATCATCCCATATCTAAGCAAATTCTTGTCATGTCGCCCATTTATCAAATCCCGGACACTCTGTGACTTCTGATCAGTCATAATCTAGAGTTTTTTAAAGAAGTGGGTTGACCTCGTTGTCGCAACTTGGTCTTGTTTTCAAGGAGACCATGTAGAACGCACCTAGTC